CTCAATATGCTTGAGTTTTTGGACCTAGACCAGCTTTAGAAGAGTCTATAACTTGTCTTTCTATTTCAGGTTCTCCAAAGAATTCTTGTTCTACTTTTGTCTGCTTTGTAAGTTCTATATTATCATATGCTTTTTCATCTATTTGTAATAAAGTATCATAAAGAACTTGACAAGCTCTTAAAGTTCGTGGTTGTTTATAATTTTCATAATATAATTCCTTATACCTTTTTCGTAATCTTGAGCCCTATTGCTTAACAGTTTTACCTAGCTTTCTGTCATTAGCATTTTTTACTACTTGAGATAAGTTTTTAAGTAATATTTTAGAATTTTGCTCTGGCAATGGCTCTAGATTTTGTATCACTTCAGCTATATCTAAGATTTCTAGATTTCTTGATATAGTCAAAGTTCTTTGGTGCTGAGGTAAAAGTACTGGAGAAATGAGGGGTCTGCATGGATTCTTTCTATTAAGATGCTCACAAAGTTTTTGTGATATTGTACATGGATGCCCACAATATTCACTAGTTCTATTTTTCTTGTCTTTTCTAGCCATAGGTAAAGTCCAATAGTTGTGCTATATTTTACTTATACAAAATCTTTTCTTTAAATAATTAATTCATATCATATATTCAAAAAAATGATTGGTGAGTATTTGTGCCTCTACCTTCATAATTCTGGAGAAGCCTATAGTAGAGCTTGCATTCGGTCTGAAGGGTGCTAGTTTCATTAGAAAGCTAAAAAACACGTCCCTTGTACTGATTGTGGTAAGCCTACTGGTTCAACTTCTGGTCGATGTCTATTATATATCAGAGGTTATTATGTTACCCAATACTATAATAAACTTTGATCAAATATATGAGAAAGAACTTATGAAGAAATAATGGATTCCCATAAAGACACGCTTGCAATTCTTAATATTTCTCTCTGTAGAGAATGCTTCTATCCGATAAAATTAGAAGAATATTGTAATAGTTGTCAGCCTGAATAGGTATAACAAATAAATATTTCAGCTAACTCTCGCTCTATACCTAATTTTTGACAGAATTTTTGTTAGATTTATTATTTTTTGTTATTAGATTTAATTTGTATATCAAAAACTTGATCTAAAGTACTTATAAAGCAGAAATAACACATTGATTTTTATTGTTCTAGAAGCTCTAGCTAAAAAGGATTTTTAACGTTAAAATGATTTTTGGAATTGTTCTTGATATATAATTTTGGTTAGACTTTGAATTTTTTTGTTAGACTTGACTTGTATATGAAAATCATGTTTTATAAAGATTTAATATATATCTAGTACTATAATATTTTTCTGTCCTAATTTCCCCATTGATATACTAAATTTTCGGTTAGACTTTGGTTAAATTTAGTGAAATGATATGTAATTTAGCTTGCTAAAGTCTATATAAACACATAAAACAAATATATAATTTAACTTAATTTTATTGCTTTTTATTGACAAGCGAAGTAGTATAAAATCTTAGTTAGCAAAATCTAATCAAAATATGTCAAAAATGACATGGCAAACATAAATCTAATGTCATTCAAGTGACGTTCAAAAAACTAAATTTAACTTCAGTATAGAATTTGACAACTGAAGCCTTGTGGCATACTAATGCTTGTATTGGTGATTTTGTCCCAAAACCCTCAAATTAGTATTGTGTAAAGAATATGAAAAGAGAAGGTACTAGATTATCTTAAAGAGAGATATTAAGGTTGGATAAACTCTACAAAAGTACAGAATAGATAATAATAGTAATTTTAGCTTACAAATACTTGTTTTTAAACTTAGTGTAAGTTACTAAAAAGATCTGATATTACAGTAATAGTGAGTATTAGACTGCTTTAACAGGTAATATACTTAAGGATATATTAGAAATAGTTGTTCTATAGATAATATATAATAATCTGAGATTATGAAATAACTTATATACCTTATATTCTAGATAAGATTAGGTCAGATTAGTATAAGAAGTTCAAAATTAAAGAGTTTAAATAGAGGATCTATAGGCAAATCTTAGATATAATATTTGAAAAGTAACTATAGTAATATAGCAGAGCTTTTTTTTTTTTTTTTTGCTTCACTTAGGCTGATCATGCCAGTACTTTTATTTAATCAAGTGCCACTTGTGGAAGTGCATAATCATTAAAACTATAGGTCTGACATCCTGCAGTTACCTTGAATAACCTAACCGATTATCTACACGTCCTACAGGTGACCTGCCGCACCAGAAAAGCACGATCAATTAAGATAATACCCTACTGGGAGCTCGTCTGACCACCGCTCTACAATAGAATGTTACCAATCTGATAACATCTTCTCATAGAGAAGTGAAAAAAAAAATATATATATATATATAAATGAAACACAGAGGTATAGGGGAAA